GCTGTTCGGATGGGAACATGTAAGACTGAACTTGTGATGTGCTTCCAAAACACAATAGTAGAACCAGGCATAGGGTAGACATTCCCATCCCAAAGGGAGAAATAGGAAAGAAGAAATTCATAACAGGTGCTTCCCAAGTCCAAAATCCAACAGAGCAAACATTGAGTCTTTTTTTTTTTTTTTTTTTTTGAGACCAAGTTTCGCTTTTGTTGCCCGGGCTGGAGTGCAATGGTGAGAGCTCCCCTCACTGCAACCTTCACCTCCCAGGTTCAAGCTCTTCTCCTGCCTCAGCTTCCACAGTAGCTGGGATCACAGGCACATGCCGCCATGCTGAGCTAATTTTCGTATATATATATATTTTTTAGTTGAGATGGGGTTTCGCCATGTTGGCCAGGCTGGTTTCAAACTCCTGACCTCAGGTAAACCACCCACCTTGGCCTCTCAAAGTGCTGGCATGACAGGCACGAGCCGCTGCGGCCAGCCAACATTAAATCTTAAGTCGTGAAAATAATCATCTTGGGTTCTATGTCCCACCTTCTGGACATACTGGGTTGGTGAACCTACAGCTCTATAGCTTTGGGCAGCCCTGCTCCCGGGGCAGCTTGGTGCCTGGTTTGTGCCCTGGCCCCCTGGGGCTACAGTCACACAGTGGTTGCTCTACGTCTCTGAGTCAGGGGAGCAGGCCCGCCCCAGCTCTGCTGGACACTGAGCTTCACAGGACTCTCTGTGGTGGCCCCACAGTCCCGGAGGCTTTTGCACTCTGGGCCTTTACTAATTCCATTCATGAGGGCTCTGTCCTCAGAACCTACTCACTTCCCAAAAGCCCATCTCCAAACGCTATCAAGTGAGGATTAGCTTTCAATGTGTAAGTTTTGGGGAGACAAAAACATTCAGACCATGGCAACCCTAATAATACTGTCTATAACTGCATATAATATACTATGAACTAAATACTTCAATTCAAAGACATTGTCAGACTAGATTAAAACAAACGTTCTAATGCTTATATGGGACCTACTTTAAACACAAAGACACAGAAAGGTTTAAATTAAAAAGATGCTTTTAAAAAAAGCCATTCCATGATAATATTATTGGAAAAACAGTTAACGTAGCTATAATGACAGCAAACGAAAGTGGCTACATGCAGCTAGATGTAGAAGCCTAGTTAAAGCTGTTATAATGATAAAAGGTAAGTAATATATACCAATAACATAATTATGTGATATATTCTATATTATAATGATAAATTTATAATCATTTGATAAAATCAAATAACAATGATAAAATCATTATAATCAAGCTATAATGACAAAATCAATTCAATCAGGCTATCAAGAAAAAAGGGTAAATTCTGCAGGAAAATATAGCAATCTTAAACTTGTGTACCCTTAATAAAACAGCATCAAATGATGTAGTGAAAATTGGCCAGTCATGGTGGCTCGAGCCTGGAATCCCAGCACCTTGGGAGGCTAAGGTGGGCAGATCGCTTGAGGTTGAAAGTTTGAGAACAGTCTGGCCAACATGGTGAAACCACATCTCTACAAAAAAAATTAAAAAATAAATAAATAAAAGTTAACTGGGTGTGGTGGTGCACCCCTATAGGTCCAGCTACTCGGGAGGCTGAAGCAGGAGAATCACTTGAACCTGGGAGATGCAGGCTTCTGTCACTGCACTTCAGCCTGGGTGACAGAGTGAGAGACACTTTATCTCAAAAAACAAACAAACAAATAGTGAAAATTGACAGCATATAATGAAAGCATAAGTAGAGAAGTTCACACTAATTAATGGAAATTTTTCCCCTATTCTTTCAGTAACTAATGACAATTTGATAGAAATATCAACAGAAGCCAGGTGTGGTGGCTCACGCATGTAATCCCAGCACTTTGGGAGGCTGAGTCTGGTAGATCACTGAGCTCAGGAGCTCAAGACCAGCCTGGGCAACATGGTGAGACCCCATCTCTATGAAAAATACAAAAAATTAGCCTGGCATGGTGACACATGCCCATAATCCCAGCTATTTAGGGGACTGAGAGGGGAGGATTGCTTGTGCCTAGGAGCTTGAGGCTGCAGTGAGCTGCTATTGCTCCATTGTACTCCAGCCTCGGTGACAAAGCAAAGACCCTGTCTCAAAAAAAAATAATAATAAATAAATAGAGAAATTTGAACAACATAACTGTACATATGTCAACTAGTAAGTTTGACTAATTGACATACGTACAGTTTTGCCCAACAAATGCGAAACAATTTTTCAAGTACACATGAAATAATTGGAAAATAACTATATACTGGGTGGTAAGTTTCAAAAAATGTCTATGAATTGAAGCCATATTGAATATGTTCTCAGTTTACAGTGCAATTAACCTGGAAATCCACAATGAAAAAAGGCTAGAAAATCTCTAAACGGTTGCAGATGATCAACTATATACATGCATGTGTGTATATACGCACAAACACATACAGATAAATGTGTGTTTATATGTGTTTAATATATTATATATATTTTTTTATTTACATTATGTGGTGTTTTATCTTAATAACCTTCCTTAGGGACATAGCTTAAGAATCTCCTGTTATTTTTTCACAGAAAGCATGCACCTGCAGGGGAGCTGATTTGTATAGATCCCAGTAAAAAGGGAATTGTGTAGGTAAATTCCAGAGAGCTTTTATACAGTGAATTCCCCTGTCAGTGGTTTTGGAGTCCCTGGTTTTAGTCACGGTGGTCTGAAAATATTAAATGGAAAATTCCAGGAATAAACAGTTCCTAAGTTTTCAATTGTGTGGGGTTCTGATTGACCGACGCGATCCTGCCACCTTGCTCCCTCCCACAGGAGGTGAGTCCTCCCTTTGCCCAGCGTTTCCCTGCTGTCCATCTGTTAGTCACTTCACAGTCTGGGTTATCAGGTGACTGTGGCAACGTCCAGTGCAGTGTGTTCAAGTTGCCCTGATTTTACTGACTCTTTGCCCTTATTTCTCTCTGGTGCCAAAATGCAAGAGAATCGATGCTTGTAATTAAACTATGCCAAAGAGAAGCCACGAATGCCTCCTTTACGTTAAAAGGTAAAAAATTCTGGACTTTATAAGGAAAGAAAAAATCATAGACAGAGGTTACCAAGATCTACTAAAAACAAATCTTCTAACCATGAAAATGTGAAGAAGAAAAAAGAAATACATGCTAGATTTTCCGTCGCATCATTTGTGGGTGGAAGAACAGAAACATGTTCCCATTGATGGCACTGGGGACTATCCAAGGCTTCAGGCATCCACGAGGGCTCTTGGAACAAATCTCCCAAGGGTATGGGGGTGGGGGTGGGGGCTACTGTATTTCTGGCCTCACAATCTTTTACTGGCGACTTTAGCCTCTCAGGATCTCAGGCCCTCTTCTCTACGATGTACCCCAGAGGACCAGAAATGCACTTTATTTGGGGTTTGCCTGCTTTTGTGGAAGGGAAGATTACTAGAGAATATAATCTGGTGTTTTAATTTATCGTCTCTCCTAAAGGGAATGTGGAGGAAAAAAATACAGAAATTGGAAAAAACCAATATTTAGTTTATTTCATTCGATTCTCAGGGCAACTGGTGAGGAGCCTAAGATAATTTTCCCTTCCTAGAGGAAGAATCCAAGGTCTAGGTAGATAGCGACTTGGGAGTCCAAGACCACCCCTGCTAGGCCTTCCTTGGCTACTCCCGCTGCGTTTGCAGGATAACTCTCATTAGCAGGAGAATCCAGCATGTGCGTGGATGAGTAGAGAGTGTGTTGAACAACTTGCAACATTTTATGAAATATGCATTGTCATGGTTGCATTGTGATGCTTTCTTAAAAGGCTTTCCAGAAGCTGTTTGTCTTTGCTAATCAAGTCTTTACTTATACAAAATTTTAGAAAACATGCTAACAATCTTCTAGTCCCTTGAAGACCAGAGTAGTAGAAAACAGGAGATTTGCATTATAAAATTGCACTCACTTTTTCCTTCTTTCGGATTTCACATTACAATAGCCCATCTGTGGTATAGTGTTTTAAAAAATGAAACAGGAGCCCCCCCACCCCGTTGCATTGTTCTCCTTTAAAAATAGATCACTAACATCCTAACTTTGTTTTTCTTAAATTCGAGTCTTAACAGGAGAGCTATTATTTCGAATGAAGTGAGGTTGCACTACTGGAAGAAATAAATCCATTAATTTTGGGGGGATTTCTGTTCTCTGTTAGTTACAAGACCATCTTACTTGGGGTGAGGGGTGGGCACGGCAGTCGGGGCAGCGGAGCGCAGTCGCGGCTGCGCCATCCCTGCACTTCCAGGCGCGCGGGAGGGACCAGCGGGGACGTGAGTTGCGGACTCCAGCGAACGAGGGGAGGCAGACACCGGGAGGCGGACACCCAGCCGGTAGGCGCCCCAGCCTTGCCGCCGCTGGCGGGTTCTTTTCCTGACAGCTCCAGGCAAGGCAGACTCTTTCCCCAGCCAGTCAGGTAAGGTAAAAACTGCTGTTGAGCTTGCTGTTACCGAGGGCGCGCAGACCCTAGGGAGACCGAAGCTTGCCACTGAGGGATTCGGTGGGGTGACCTGGGTCTACTGAAGTGTCCTAAAAGAGGGGAGAAGGGTTGGCCTTTTTTCCTACGTAGGGAAGGATTCTTTTCTCTATCATTTAGTTTGATGTACTCGATTGGAAGAAGTGAGATTTCAACAGGTAGCAGGAGAGCGCTCACGTGGAGGAGGTTTGGGGCGCCGCGGCGCACCCCCTCCCCGGGACAGCGGCTTTTTCTAAAGCTACACATCGACGAGCTAACTTATGCTTTCAATTCCCCTTCCCAGCCCCGTGAGTCCGCGGCGACAGTGGGTCGTGGGGTGGCTGGGTACGGCCCCCTCCTCCAGAAAAAACAGAGAAGGGCTTGGAGAGCTGAAGCCAGCGTCCGCGAGCAGGTCCGTGAGGACCCAGGCTTCAGGCCCGCGGAGTCCTGCCGGGCGGCCGTGGGGGACACCAGGTCGCCGGCTCCTCTGTCCTGGTCAAGATGGACAACGCCTCGTTCTCGGAGCCCTGGCCCGTCAACGCATCGTGCCCGGGCCCGGCGCTGGGCTGCTCCAACGCGTCGAGTCTGGCCCAGCTGCCTGCGCCGCTGGCAGTGGCCGTGCCAGTCGTCTACGCGGTGATCTGCGCCGTGGGGCTGGCAGGCAACTCGGCGGTGCTGTACGTGCTGCTGCGGGCGCCCCGCATGAAGACCGTCACCAACCTGTTCATCCTCAACCTGGCCATCGCCGACGAGCTCTTCGCGCTGGTGCTGCCCATCAACATCGCCGACTTCCTGCTGCGGCAGTGGCCCTTCGGGGAGCTCATGTGCAAGCTCGTCGTGGCCATCGACCAGTACAACACCTTCTCCAGCCTCTACTTCCTCACCGTTATGAGCGCCGACCGCTACCTGGTGGTGATGGCCACTGCCGAGTCACGCCGCGTGGCCGGCCGCACCTACGGCGCCGCGCGCGCGGTGAGCCTGGCCGTGTGGGGGCTCGTCACTCTCGTCGTGCTGCCCTTCGCCGTCTTCGCCCGGCTCGACGACGAGCAGGGCCGGCGCCAGTGCGTGCTGGTCTTCCCGCAGCCCGAGGCCTTCTGGTGGCGCGCGAGCCGCCTCTATACGTTTGTGCTGGGCTTCGCCATCCCGGTGTCCGCCATCTGCGTCCTCTACACCACCCTGTTGTGCCGGCTGCACGCCATGCGGCTGGACAGCCACGCCAAGGCCCTGGAGCGCGCCAAGAAGCGGGTGACCTTCCTGGTGGTGGCGATCCTGGCCGCGTGTCTCCTCTGCTGGACGCCCTACCACCTGAGCACGGTGGTGGCGCTCACCACCGACCTCCCGCAGACGCCGCTCGTCATCGCCATCTCCTACTTCATCACCAGCCTGAGCTACGCCAACAGCTGCCTCAACCCCTTCCTCTACGCCTTCCTGGACGGCAGCTTTCGCAGGAACCTCCGCCAGCTGATAAAGTGCCGTGCGGCCGCCTGACGCCCCGAGCTTCGGGCTCCCCACCGGCCCGGTCACTGCTGGCCGGCGCAGGAGGAACCGGCGCCCGCGGCCAGAGTGCGGGACCAGACAGGCAGCCTCCGCGTCGCGGGGAAACGGACTCGCGCCCCACCCCCGACCTAGCGGATGGGAAGCGCTGCGGGTGCGCCCGCAGGTTGACCTTGCCAAGCCCTCCGGGTGATGTGCGTCCACGGCGGGTGAGGAGCACCGCGGCCGAGATCGCCACACTGATCACTCCCTAACGCCAAGGTCAGGGGTTGACCCTCGAGTTTGGCACGCAGACCAGTGTGGAGGGAGAAGAGGCTAGAGGAGGAGGGCGGTACTGCTGGGACCCGACCCCTCCCTGCAGCGCTCCCGGCTACCCGACCCCAGCCCCGGCCGTCGGCCACCTGGCTCGAGGAGGAGCTCTCCGCGCCTTTTACGGGAGGCCGGAGGACGCTGCGGGCGCCCCCAGGCGTCGGCTCCGCGCTGCCTCTGCTCTACTTGGCGCACAGCCGCGGCCGGTCCCCGCGTCCCCCGCGCGCTCTGGGAAGAGGGTCAGGCGCGCGCATTCGCGCCCACGCCCGTGAGACGCGCTTGGCCGGGACAGCTGCCGAGGCTGCCAGCGCCTCTTCAGCTGGGCGAAAGACAGCTCCGGGTGTCCCGCCGGTGTGCGTGGTGTGCGCGCGCTTGCGGAGGCGTGGGATGCGGGGGCGGAGGCTGGCGCTTGGCTGCGACTGTCTAGAACGTGATAATAGTGATCCTTCCTCCTGCCCGCCCCAACTCCTTCTTTCTTTTCCTTGCCCCTTTCTTACCCGTGATCTCCCCTGGAAATGTCTCTCAAACTCCCGGAGCCAAGAACCTCGAGTCGCCTGGGCGCGCGGTTCCGGCGCCCCCGTGAGGAGCCGGCGGCCGGGCACTGAGCGTCTGAGCACCGCGGGGTTCTGCGGGGGAACGCTGGGGCTGAGTGCGCTTCACAGCGATGCGGCGCACTGGTCACCGTGACTTCTAGAGGACGCCAAGCCACACGCCCGGTTCCCCCAACTGGCCTCGCCTCTTGTCTGACTTTGACCAGTCTGTTGTAACTGTTCATTAAGTACTATTTTCCAGGACTGAGAACTTATATATAATGTACATGTCCTAATCTCACGAGTTGCCATGAAGATCAAACAAGATAAAAAGAAATGGGATCTATTCCCTTGTGTTCCCTTTCTCCTCTGCGCTTCCTTGGGTCCGCCTTAGGGAGAGCAGGAAGCAGGGATGACCGACGGCTTCGGATTTTCTCTGCTGGACTTCCCACAGGAAGCTGCGAGATAAAACTGGGCTTTATTCCTTAGTTATAGAGGGCATCTGGTAGGTAGTCCAGGTAAACAGGTAAACACTGGTTCTGGAGTTACCAGGGAGACTGGCCAGCATCGTACCTTTGTTTTTATCTCTGCATATGGAAGACAAAGTGGATTCAGATAGTGGACTGATACTGGGTTTGCCCTGTCCTCTGCAGTTTAGCCTTAGACATGAGGGCCGAATCTTAACAAAACTCTGGTCATCGACTGTGGTGTTTTAAAAGGTATTAATCCTTGGGATGAAGTCCAAACAGTATGAACATTTCTAAAAATGTTTGTTTCCTATGTCATGTGTGAGAAAATATGTGAGTATTGCAGCAGATTTTGTTTATTTAGTTCGACTGTTATCGTTAATCAATTTCTCAGTTATTCAGGTTGAAAATAGCTTTTAATAAATATTTGGAAGGAAAAAAAAACACTCCCTTGGAATGTGGGAAAGCAAGCCCCTTTTCTGATTTTGGTGAATGAGAATTGCTTTCTTAGCTCTCAGAGTTATTAGGAACATTGAAATGACTCATAGCCATCAGTTTAGAAAATATACATTAAAAAACCTTCTGTCTTGGGTGGCAAATAATAGTAAATTGTTCAAAAAAAAGTTTTCATCTACAGTGAGTTTCGAATGGTGAACCTCATGGCATTTGAACAGGCCGGCTTTCAGAGGCTTCTTGGAATTCATTTTAGCATCCTTAGAATTTCTAGGAAACAGTCTATTGATTTTCATTAAAATTCTCAAAATTGTTTCATGAATCCTCTGTCACTTTTCAAAATTAAAGTTTTAAACTGAGAGTAACTTCTAGATTTCCTAAGGGGATGGACAGAGTAAGGTGAACATGTATCTACAAACACAGCCAGGCATGACTGTCTGGATTCAGTATCTCATCTGTATTAATAAGCTCAGTAACTGGACACAGATGGAAGACAGCTGAGTGATCCATCTGTCCCCTGCCTCATCCCCACGGTAGATCAGCCTGGAGCTGTCTTGGAATCTATGGAGATGGCTGCTGGAAAAATACACGAGTGGACATTGCTGTTCATCCCAAGCAAGGCATGGATTGGCTTCTGAGTAAGCCTGTGGGATTCAGTAGGACTTAGCAGTTCAGCTTCTCCCAGGCTTTCTGATCACTGGATAAACTGTTGTACTATTATTTCTAGGTCACTGCCCTTCATATGAGCCTGTAGAACGTATGTCTCAGATCTCAGGCTTCCTTTCTATGTCTCTGGTAGTAGGTTGAATAAATACGCACATAAGCCAGGCAAAAGTAAAATTTATTTACCTCATTGTATTGCGAAGGTTTTAACACTGTATTGAATTCTTGTAGTCTCTGTGTAAACTCTATGGTTTGCTTTTACCACTTTGAATAGTTAAAAATGTCTATTTGCTTTTACTTAATTTAGTACAGTTATGTAATGTATATACTTACGTTTTCTTTTGAAAAATGCAGAAACTCTGTAGTCACTTGCAGAGGAACACAGTTTAAAATAAAAGCTGAAACATTCTGTGTGATGATAGTGAACATTTTATTTTCTGAGAACATGTTATCTGTAATTCAGTCACCTTAGCATTTAGGTTGAATATATGCTGTGTAGTATTATTATTTAAAACTATTGCCTTCATTGGCAAAGTGATATAATGAACACTCAGAGAACAAATAGAAGTATTGGACAGGACAAGATTAAGAATGAACAGCCCCATCCCACCTTTTAATTTAGTTGATTGTGAAAATGATGTAAAGCTGCTGATGTACACAGATTCCAGAACTTACACTGGGCAGAGAAAGGACACTAAACTTTTATCGTATCATGAAAAGCCTCACTTCTTAAATATTGGAGCAGCTATGTGGAGGGTTAGAAGGGAAGAGAAATTGCTTAAGTTATTAGCATACATGTCATTATCAGCAGTATGCGTAGACTTAGCACAAATTTGCAAGGTGGAGAATCTCACCTGAAAAACCCATGAACTTATTATAAACCCTTCTTTCCTCAGTAACATTCTGGGAAAACAACAGCAACTCAAAAAACAATAACTCACTTTGAATATTAATCATCTATGCTCATGCGCGTTAAGAAAGAGATCAGAGAATCCTGCCTATAATGGTCTTTTATTATGGCCTTCGAGTCTGCCACTTGGGCCTCCATTTTACATACAAAAAAAGTGACTATAAGGACGTGGATGAATGTAGCCAGCGCCACAGAGATCAATGAAGACCAATCCGAACCATCTGGTTCCCATGCTATTCTAGGAATTGTGTCATCTTGTGTCAGCAGAGATAGAATTGGTTGCAATGTGTAATTTGGGAGTATTAGACTAGAAAACAATGATGTCTTTTAACTATTTAGTAGATTAAGCAAGATGTATCTACCATTAGCTCATACGGGATAAAGGGAGGGTAAGATTTAATAATAAAACTTCAATCTTAATTCAGAAACTTACAAATGTATGGGGTTGTTGAGAGTTATATGAGAACAAAAATTCCTAACAGAGCTGGCACACAAAGGCACCATGTGCACAGCAGCCCCCATGCTTTATGTACGGGGAGCTGTGCTTGAGCGGCACTATTCACATAAGATACAATGCTAATGATGCCTCTGTTTCTACAGAATGGAGCTTTGCAATGGACGACGCTGTCCTTGAATATAGGGCTAGGGATGCTTATTTGTTTATATCATATCTCATAATGTTACATTGGTGACATCACATTAAATAAAAAGATGGGAAAAGGGAAGGAAATTGAAAATGATATTGTACAGAAACTGTCAGAATGCATGAACTGCATGCTTCCCACAGTCCTGAAGAAGATTTGTCTTGTGCCTGGAGGGCAGTAGTGCACACAGACCTGATGCCCTGCTGGGCCAGGACCCAGAGAATGGCTCAGCATCTTCCTGTAAAATCTGGATCCTCTCACAAAGACTGCTCAACCAGAAGGTTATCTCACCTGCATTCTGAGGTGACCCAAGGACCACAGTCACAACTGCAATAACCAGGCCACTGAGCACCACGGAAAGTGTGGGTGGAATTTCACTATCAATTGTGTGTAGTCAACAATATGGGAGAAATTGCGAGTGTTCCCAAAGATGAGGGGAAAATCATTTGTGAGGGCCAAAACAAGACGGGTATCTTAAATCATTTATCCATTTGGCAAAGCAGCTTCTTCCTTTAGGCAGTGATGAATGATCTGGCAGAGGAGGAAAGGCCAGCCCTATTCAGTCACCGTGGTATGAATGCAGCAATCAAACCTGAAAAGATGTAAATATTTATATCTTCAAAAGTACCAAATGAATTACCCACATTCTCCTACATAACACTGTTTTGATTCCTTTAACTCCTCTCTTCCAATAAAAATACCACTCCTCATTACTGCATTTCTATTCATTCTCTTTACAGAAGAATTCCAGGAGTCCTAGTTAAAAAGAAGTTATATAATTTCTTTAAAATAATTGCATCTTGGATTTATCATGACAATTTATTATTATGGTTAAAGATTATAGTGAACTTTTAGACACTATAGTGAACCTTTAGACACATTTATTTAAAATGAAAATGTATTTTACATGTTCAAATTATGTTAAGTAACGAGGTTTCTTGAGGCTTTTATACTTTTGAAAGGAAGAATGCATCTATATAAGTTTCCTATTGAATCTTTCAAATGATAATAAAAACAA